CGGGTGGGGTGAGATGCAGGTGGGAGGATACATGTGGGGCAGGACCCGGACTGGGAGAGGAACCCCTACAAATTTCACACACTTCGACTTGAAGCCAACATCTGTTTGGATGGCTGTAAAGGGGCCCCTGCGAACACGTGGGATGGGATGGGGCGAGAGGGGGGTCTCCAGGGAGGGCAAGGCAGGGCTCCTCACACATAGTTCTTAAGGGCATAGCTCCCCAGGCTGGAGTGCTTCACCACTTTATACTTCATGGGGTATGGCGCATCTTGGCTGGGGGGGCAGGAGCAGCACAGTATGGCCCCCCCAAACACCAAGAGGGCACTTGCGGCCCAGCCCACATAGAGGGAAGCCCCCAGCTCCCTCTTTAAAGCCTCTGGCACCATGGGGTTGTAGAAGTTGCTGATGATGGTGTTGGCCGACCAGGACACAGGGATGAGCAGACCAATCCCGGCCAGAATGAAGACAGCCCCGGCGGTGATGGAGATCTTGGCCTTGGCCCCCTTGTCATCGACGCACCTGGTGCACTCGGCCCCAAAGATGGCAATAAGGAGGGCAAGGAAGGACACCACAATGGAGACCACAACTAGGGCTCGGGCTGCCTGGAGGTCCGAGGAGAGGTCCAGCAGCGAGTCGTAGACCTTGCACTGCATTTGGCCTGTGCTCTCGTACACACAGTTCATCCACAGCCCCTCCCAGAACACCTGAGCCACGATGATGTTGGAGCCAATGAAGGCCGTCACCTTCCACATGGGCAGCGCACAGGTCAGGATGGTGCCCAGCCAGCCCAGCACCGACAGGGCCAGGCCCCCCATCTGCACAGCCATCACCGTCATGGCTTACGGGCAAGTCAGGCTCTCACCTTTGGAGACAGTGGGAAGAGCAGTTTAGAGATGCTGCACTGCACACACACCCCGCAAACCGAATGCCGGTAATTTGTAGGAGGTGAAACCAGGGGCTGCAACAGCAGGGCGAGCTGGAGCAAGGCCCCAGATTAGGTAGTCAGACTCAGAAGACTTGGCTCTGCCACAGTCTCCTTGGGTGACCTTGGGCAAGTCACTCTGACCTTGCTGTGCCTCGGTTTCCCATCGCTATGATGTGAGAAGAAGTGGCACTCCTTGGGGTCTTATGCTGGGCGTCTGCACCACAGGCCAAGTTCTAGGAGACAGAGCTGGCTTCCCATAGGCAGAGCAGCCGCGATACCCACGGTTACCTTCGCCCAACCCTGTCCATTATACCCCTGATGCCAAACTTTACCTGTTCAGGCTGAGCTTTTTCGGTGACTGCTCTTGCATGAAAGTGGATTGTGTGTGTGCATGTGTACATGTATGTACGTGTGTATATGTACATATATATGTGTACACATGTATGTACATATGTGTGCTTGTGATTTTCTGAATATTCCAGCTCCCCAGGCCATACTCCCCAGCCTCAGTGAGTGGCCCACACTAGCCAGCCTCTGTCCCCAATTCCAATACCTCTTAGCCTAGGGGGAGGTGCACTGGGCTGAGAGCCAGGAGTTCAAGACAGAACAAGGAGCAATGGTCTCAGGTTGCAGTGGGGGAGGTTTAGGTTGGATATTAGGAAACACTGTTTCACTAGGAGGGTGGTGAAGCACTGGAATGGGTTACCTAGGGACAGGGCCGGCTTTAGCAAGAGCGTGGCCCGATTCCTGGGGGTGGGGCTTGCTGCAAGCCCCACCCCCAGGAATCGAGCCACGCTCCGGCCGGGGTAGCCAGGCTTGGGAATCGAGCCGCGCCGCAGGGGACGGGCCGGACCCAAGCGGAGCCGAGCCGCAGGGGCTGGGCCGGAGCCGAGCCGCGGGGGCCAGGCCGGACCCGAGCCACGCCGCGCCAAGCCACGGGAGCCAGGCCGGACCCGAGCCGCGCCGCACTGCTGGGGCCGGGCTGGACCCGAAAGGCGGGGGCCGGGCCTGAGCCAAGCCGCGGGGTCCAGGCCCGAGCCGAGCCGGACCTGAGCCACGGGGTCCGGGCCGGGCCAGACCCGAGCCAAGGGGGCCAGGCTGGACCCAAGCCGGGCCGCGGGGGCCGGGCTGGAGCTGAGCCGGGCTGGAGCCGCTGGGGCCGGCACGCTCGGCCGGAACTGGGGCCAGACTGGGCCTTGCCTCCCCGGAGCCCTTCTCGCGCCCCCCCTGCCACCCCAGCATACCTAGTGCTGCCTGCCCGCCCCTGCTTCTTTTCAGACTCCCCGCGAACCTCTGATTCGTGGGAAGCAGGGGAGGGGGAGGAGCAGGGGCGGAGCATTCAGGGGAGGAGAGGAGGGGGAAGTGAGCTGGGGGGGATGGAGAGCTGTGGCGCGGGGCCCTCTTAGCGCGGGGCCCAATTCAGCCGAATCGACTGAATCGGCCTAAAGCCGGCCCTGCCTAGGGAGGTGGTGGAATCTCCTTCCTTTTTTAAGGTCAGGCTTGACAAAGCCCTGGCTGGGATGATTTTAGGGTGACCAGATGTCCTGATTTTATAGGGACAGTCCTGATATTTGGGGCTTTTTTTAATTCGGACTCCTATTACTCCCCACCCCTGCCCCGATTTTCTCACTTGCTATCTTGTCACCCTAGATGATTTAGTTGGGGATTGGTCCTGCGTTGAGCAGGGGGTTGGACTAGATGACCTCCTGAGGTTCCTTCCAACCCTGATATTCTATGATTCTAAGTCTCACCTCGTTTGCTGACTGGTGGTGATACTTCTGTTCCCTGCGCTCCCTTATTCCTGAGAAAAGACTCCTGGGATAGAACACAAGTCCCTAGTAGGGCAGACTCAAGTCTCATCCACTTAGCCACATTCTCTCTCAGAAGTAATGTGCCAAGTCCATGTGCTTGGTTATTGCTCTCTGACCACTAGACAACATTCCCCTCCCAGAGCCAAGAACAAAATCCACAAATCCTGGCTCACTGTGTTCCACTGCTGTCAAGGAAACGGTTGTGTAACTCACTGGCAAGCGCCTACCCTCTAGTCAGTGGATGGTATACATAGAGGATAACAAACTAGTCCTTTAGCTCAAATGGCAGAGGGCTGTGCTGTGGATATGACTATCCTCAACCCAGCTTGAGGGGTCAGTACAGTTCCACAAAATGGAATTTCTGTTTGGGTTTGGTTTGGTTGGTTGGTCGGTTGTTTTTTTGTTCTGTTTTTCCATGCAACAAACTAAAATAAAGGAACATTATTAAGGATGCATAGTCAAGCAGTCAGAAGTTATGGAATATCAGAATGAAAGGTTATCTATGCAACTTTATTCGGCCCCCTTGTACGTTATGCTGCATTCTTTTATTACATGATCACATACTAATTTTTGCACATTTTTGGCCTCATTCAGTGCTCAGGGTGCCTTGTGCTCAGGAACGAGGCAGCCGTTCAATATCTTTTCATCTTAGAATCATAGAATCATAGAATATCAGGGTTGGAGGGGACCTCAGGAGGTCATCTAGTCCAATCCCCTGCTCAAAGCAGGACCAATTCCCAACTAAATCATCCCAGACAGGGCTTTGTCAAGCCGGGCCTTAAAAACCTCTAAGAAAGGAGATTCCACCACCTCCCTAGGTAACCCATTCCAGTGCTTCTCCACCCTCCTAGTGAAAAAGTTTTTTCCTAATATCCAACCTAAACCTCCCCCACTGCAACTTGAGACCATTAATCCTTGTTCTGTCATCTGAGAACTGAGAACAGTCTAGAACAGGGATTGGCAACGTTTGGCACGCGGCTCGCCAGGGTGCTTACCCTGGCGAGCCGCGTGCCAAACGTTGCCGACCCCTGGTTTAGATCCATCCTCTTTGGAACCCCCTTTCAGGTAGTTGAAAGCAGCTATCAAATCCCCCCTCATTCTTCTCTTCTGCAGACTAAATAATCCAGTTCCTTCAGCCACTCCTCATGTGCTCCAGCCCCCTAATCATTTTTGTTGCCCTCCGCTGGACTCTTTCCAATTTTTCCACATCTTTCTTGTAGTGTGGAGCCCAAAACTGGACACAGTACTCCAGATGAGGCCTCACCAATGCCGAATAGAGGGGAATGATCACGTCCCTTGATCTGCTAGCAATGCTTCTACTTCTACAGCCCAAAATGCCATTAGCCTTCTTGGCAACAAGGGCACACTGTTGACTCATATCCAGCTTCTTGTCCACTGTAACCCCTAGGTCCTTTTCTACAGAACTGCTACCTAGCCACTCGGTCCCTAGTCTGTAGCAGTGCATGGGATTCTTCCATCCTAAGTGCAGGACTCTGCACCTGTCCTTGTTGAACCTCATCAGATTTCTTTTGGCTCAATCCTCTAATTTGTCTAGGTCCCTCTGTATCCTATCCCTACCTTCCAGTGTACCTACCACTCCTCCCAGTTTAGTGTCATCTGCAAACTTGCTGAGTGTGCAGTCCTCGCCATCCTCCAGATCATTAATGAAGATATTGAACAAAACCGGCCCCAGGACCGACCCTTGGGGACTCTGCTTGATACCGGCTGCCAACTAGACATGGAGCCCTTGATCACTTGAGCCTGATGATCTAGCCAGCTTTCTATCCACCTTAGAGTCCATTCATCCAGACCATAGTTCTTTAACTTGCTGGCAAGAATACTGTGGGAGACCATATCAAAAGCTTTGCTAAAGTCAAGGAATAACACATCCACTGCTTTCCCCTCATCCACAGAGCCAGTTATCTCCTCACAGAAAGCAATTAGATTAGTCAGGCATGACTTGCCCTTGGTGAATCCATGTTGACGGTTCCTGATCACTTTCCTCTCCTCAAAGTGCTTCAAAATTGATCTTCATCATTTAAGGTGTGGCCCAGCGCCTTATTTACTGTCCACTATTCAAAACCTGCACCAAAAACAGAATTACTAATTTCTAATGGGCTTTTCTGTGGTGCTCATCACTACAGTACCTGAGCGCTTCAGAACACCTTGGGAGGTAGGGAGACGGTGTTATTCTCATGTTACACTTGGGGAACTAAAGCACAGCTAGATTAAAGGCAAAAGTATTAATTAATTTGGGTGTCCAACTTGAGATGCCTAGCACCGGAATTTGACTGAACACTTTTATGTATAGCACTTTAGGCCAGAACAAGCGGTTACAATAGCTTCGCACAGCTCCTGTTGAATTCAGCTGCAGCTGTGGGTGTTCAGCACTTCTGCAACTCAAACCCAAGTGTCTCACGCTGGGCACCCAGAAAACAAGGAACAAACAATTAATGACCAACTGTGATACTGCATCCTACAGGAACTCTGTGGCTTAACCATGAGACCATCCTTTCTCTTCCTGCAGACCCCTGCCCCATGCACTACACACCTTCCAACTTCTGCAACAAATGAGGTTCTACAGATAAGAGACTCCTTCACTGCACCACCCTGATTCATCCCAGAGCACTCTCCATCCTGCGCAGTGAATGAGGCAGGGGTCCTCTGGAAAACAAGTATGTAATCATACCATTAAAGACTGTATTGGAATGCATATGCCCAAGGGGGCCAAATTAAGGTTGCATGGACAACTTTAATTCTTGCAGTATTGTAGCTGTGTTGGTCCCAGGACAAGGTGGCTGAAGTAATATCTTTTATTGGACCAACTTCTGAATTAGACCAAATAGTTAAAGTTTGACAAAGTTATAAGCAACTGAAAATCTGGTTTTATATCAGAAAGAGTTAGGAGACCCTAGTGCTCGGCATCACTTAACTGTTCTGAAAGTAATTCCGGGATTCTAACATATTCTCCTAGTTACAGGCTTCCTGTAGGTTTGCACCAGTTTCAACAAAGAGCTGGCTAGTTGAAGGGTTCCCACTGCTGTAATAAAGAAGGGATACCAGCTCTGAGTGGCTTGCAGAAGGCTGAGCTTTCGGTAGGGGTGCCTGTTGAGCTGTAGCTTGTCC